CCTGTGTTTGTCTGGCAGGAGAGATTATAAAAAGAAGTTAAAGAAAAAAAAATAGTCTCAAAAATATCTAAGACTGATATACTCCCATATTATCAAAAACACTTATTTTCCTTAGTTAGGAATAGTGTGAGCCTCTAGTCCCAGCTATTTTGGAGGCTGAAGTGGGAGCATCACATAAGTCCAGGAATTCAAGGCCAGGCTGGGCAAATAGCAAGACGCCGTCTCTTGAAACACATAACAAATGTAAAGTTTGTAGGATAGACTGATTCAGCAAATATTTTCCTCTTGTTTCTCCCGTTCTTTTCTATCTTCCTTTCTACTTGAGGCCCCTGTTTATGGAGGAATTTCATACAAGGGTGCTCTTCTTGTGCCTATCAAGACAGACCTATAGATGCTTTGAGCTATAATGTTCCATATTCGTCCCTGCCCACATTATTATTATTAGTTATTATTAATGCTTGAGGCATTAATAATCTCTTGAGCCGGGCGCAGTGATACACACCTGTAGCCCCATCTACTCAAGAGATTGAGGCAGGAGGATTGTTTGAACTCACTGCACTACAGTCTGGGCGACATAGCAAGACCTGTCTCTCAAAAAAATTACGTAAATAATCTCTTGAGTATGCTATGACATTTCTCAAGCCTGTGGCCTTATCATATAAACTTACAGCATTTTCTAATTCCATTCTGATCATTTCAAATAAACTTTAATTTTATCATAAAATATCTTACTACCGTTACTAAAAACCATAAAAAGTTTGTAGTTATGAAGAAGTTATTTGACTCATTCACTTTGTTAGATGTCAGCCTAGATAGTACAACCTCCAGGAAGCATTCCTTGACCGCTTAGATTTAGTTACGTTTGGTTAGATTTAGTTATGTTTGATGAGTTACATATAAACTAATTGAATTTAGTTAACTTTTGCTGTGAGGTCCTGTAACACCCTTCACTTTCCCGATCACTGGAGGCAATACAGAGACACAGCAAGTTCAGCTCAGCCCTTGGATCATACAGTCCTGGATTCAAATTGGCACCTCTTACCTCCTAGTGGAGTCTGTCAAGTTACATAACCTAAGTTCCCCTTTCCTTATTCGTAAAGTGAGATTAGTAAAACAGGGTTATGGAAGAGCAGGGATATTAAGTGCCTATACAGTGACTGACACATCGTAAGCAATAAATAAGTACTAGATGCCGTCGTCATCACCATCTCCATCACCATCCTCATCATGACACTTCATTGTAGTTGCTTATTGAATATGCTTATCTTCCTCGATGAAGCAGGGACCACATTTTCTCTGTTCACCTTTCTCCCCCTGCTGCCTAACCGTTTCTGACACAAAACAGGAGTTTAGTAACTTGATCGTTGAATGCTTGAGATAAATCCTGGTGGCCAAACGACAGCAATGGCTTTGTGGGTTCTACCATGCCTGGTCCTTCATGCACATAGTTGTCCTCTTTTATGCCCCCCCGAAGCAATGAGATTTGGCCGAGTTCCTTCAAGAGTGAGCCTAGCAGAATAGATCCTAGGTGAAGCAGGGGAGATCACTTAGAGCTTGCAGCATCTCAGAGCTACAAGGGACTTCCTCAGCCTCACAGCCTACCTCCTTCATTTCACAAAGTACACGCTGAGACACATCCGTGGCTCAGCCAGGCTACAAATGACACAACTGGAGTACTGTAGACCTGAGAAGAGGGATTTAGAAGACAATTGAGTCCGAGCAACGTAGCTACATTATAGTTTAATTTTTGAAGTCTATCACCATTTTATCTATGGAATTTGTTTTTTAAGGATAAGTAGCTAAGTGCCTGTAAATAATAAATGCAAAATAATAATAATTAGTTTGGCTAGGAGCAGTGGCTCACATCTGCAGTCCCCACACTTTGGGAGGCCAAAGCTGGAGGACTGCTTGAGGCCAGAAGTTCAAGACTAGACTAGGTAAAATAGTGAGACCCTGTCTCCACAAAAATTTTTAAAATTAGCATGGTGTGGTGGTATGTGCCTGTAGTCCCAGCTACTTAAGGGGCTGAGGCAGGAGGATGGCTTGAGCCCAGGAGTTGGATGCTGAAGTGAGCTATGATAGCCACTGCACTGCAACCTAGGTGACAGCATGATGTCCTGTCTCAAAAAATAAATCGGCCGAGCGCAGTGGCTTACATCTGTGATCCCAGCACTCTTGGAAGCCAAGGTGGGTGGAGCGCCTGAGGTCAGGAGTTCAAGACCAGCCTGGCTAACATGGGGAAACCCCATCTCTACTAAAAATACAAAAAAATTAGTTGGACGTGGTGGAGTACACTTGTAATCCCAGCTACTCGGAAGGCTGAGGCAGGAGAATCACTTGAACCCAGGAGGCAGAGAATTGCCTGAACCCGGGAGGCGGAGGTTGCACTGAGCCGAGATTGCACTATTGCATTCCAGCCTGGGCAACAAGAGCAAAACTCTGTCTCAAAAATAAAATTAAATAAATAAATATTAGCCAGAGTGAAGTTACTTCTGAAGAAGGAAAGTGTGATATTCACTACAAATGTGAAGAACGTCTACCACCTAGCTAGCGTGTCATTAAGGGAGTACACTGCAATTCTGATCACCTGCTTTCTGAATTTTATCATAAATTATATTTTGAATGAATAATAATAACCTGTGACTGTACTGGCAAAAAAAGTCAAAAATATTATATATTTTTTAAAGATGTAAGCCATTTTAATACTCTAGTTACTCTAATTCTAAGGATCGCAATTCCACAGAGGCCACTACTATGCTTTAGAAGAGTTTTATTTATAGCTCCCTGGCAACATAAGACGCAAGGAATCCAGAGTGGTTTTTACATCCATTGCATTTACCCAAACACACCATCGGAGGGCAGTATACACTTGGTTAACTTAAAAACTGCCTGTCTGGTGGCCTTATCAAAATAGTTGTCCAAATTAGTCTAAGACATTCCTAAATTACCACTCAGATAGGCAGGAAAGGTGTTGGAAAAGACAAAAGGAGCAAAGATTTTGAAGAGACAAAGGAACGCATCCCTTAAGACTCTGAGTTTCTACAAAAGGGAATCTGGAGCTAATCATGCTGCAAAATGGGAAAACAGTTAAAAAACAAAGGGATTTCCTAATCATTTGTTACATTTGAAAGACTTTCATTGAATATGATCGTCTGAACACCAGCTACCAAACAAAAATCAGATCTCCTCATTCCTGTTAATATGCAGTACTTAATAAGATGGCAACAAAGACCACCATGTAAAAGGGTCCCTTCAGTAATGTTTTCTTGAGTGAGTGAAAATCGAGCCTGCCTTATATTGTATTCTACTTTGCATCACAAACAGTTTTAGTGTATTTCTGGAAAAGCACCAGCAGTTTCTTTGAATGTTGAATTCTGGAGTTACATAGGCAGACTTTTTTGTAACAGAATATATTGGCTTTAAAACAGGTGATAACTTGGCCGGGCCTGGTGGCTCATGGCTGTAATCCTGGCACTTTGGGAGGCCGAGACAGATGGATCACTTGAGATCAGGAGTTAAAAAACAGCCTGGCTAGGGCCGGGCGCGGTGGCTCAAGCCTGTAATCCCAGCACTTTGGGAGGCCGAGATGGGTGGATCACGAGGTCTAGATATTGAGACCATCCTGGTCAACATGGTGAAACCCCGTCTCTACTAAAAATACAAAAAATTAGCTGGGCATGGTGGCGCGTGCCTGTAATCCCAGCTACTCAGGAGGCTGAGGCAGGAGAATTGCCTGAACCCGGGAGGCAGAGGTTGCGGTGAGCCGAGATCGTGCCATTGCACTCCAGCCTGGGTAGCAAGAGCAAAACTCCGTCTCAAAAAAAAAAAAAAAAAAAAAAATCTTAGCTAGGCATGGTGTCTCATGCCTGTAATCCCAGCTCCTCTGGAGGCTGAGGCAGGAGGAGAATCGCTTGAACCCAGGAGGTGGAGGTTGCAGCAACCCGAGTTCACGCCATTGCACTCCAGCCTGGGCAACAAGAGCAAAACTCTGTCTCAAACAAAACAAACACTTATAAGGAAAGGGGTTTGCTAAGCAAATACATAGTCTAATCAGTTTTCAAGAGGAAATGCTTCAATTAAGAATAATTTTTAAGTTTAATTCTATTTTTAACTTGTTTACAAAAATCTTTTTGGAGAAAGAAGACGTATGCATTTCTAACCAGCTTCTTGCATGATTCTAACATAGTCACCTGGTACCAGCAAGCAAAGCACTCTTTGATTTTTTTAGAACACCAGGCACTACTTTCTTGGAGTAGATGATTAACCCAGCTAAAGCTTGATTTTTACTAGCTAACACTTTGTTAACCTAGTGTGTTATACTGTGTGACTTTAAAATGATAAAAGCAAAATAAAGTGTAGTTGTCATTCAAGTTAGCTTTCTAGTCCAAGTCACTAACAATCTACTATGTAATAGACATTCTAAGATTTCTGCCAACAGTTCTATTTTCAATATATAAAATCAATTTTCAGAAAACTGTAAGGATGATTTCCTTGTGCAATTAAGATTCTACTAATCATGGAAAAGATTATACTGCACACTTTCTCAAGGTACCTATGGGATTGACAATATGTCCACGTGTCCTGACAGTAAAGTCAGTTGTCTGAATACATTCCATTTTGGAATAGCAGATCTTTAAGTGCTAAGCAAGTAACTACCACCACGTTCAAGTTTAGAACTGGAAGATCTTTCATTATATTAATAGACCCTTTATTTTTAGACATAACAAAATACCAAAGACAAATGGCCACATATGTCCTAATGTACTTGAGAAATCTTGCTACGAATGCTGTGTCACTAATTTTTAATACTTTAAAAAAAAAAAAAAAGGCTGTCTTTTCTATTGGCATTATTGAGTAAGAAAAAAAAAGCTGAATCAGAATGTTTCTGTGTGAATGCACATTCCTCACTAAATCTCTCAGGCAGCTGCTTTAGTCACTGTTACTAACACCTTGCTCTGTCATCTCTTTGTATACATGTCTAATTTATCAGTTTCTTGTAGATTGTCAGCAGCCTGCTGCCTCCGTACCGCCACAGTGCTCACAACTAGCCGGGAGGCAAGACTGCCCGACTGTCAGGTAAATTCAGATGTCCTTTTCCTTCCCACCCAGCTGCATGCCTGATCCATAGACCCCAGCTCCCCTTTCTAACACCTGAACTGCCTAAGCATCATTATATTTTGCTATATTTGATTTCAAATGTGGACTACATAGACACACACTGGATACCTGCAGTCCCTGTGTTCCCAGTGGGAATTCAAGAGAGCTGGGCCTTATTTTGCTGGCCACCAGCTGGTTGAATACAGGCTGCCTTCAGCCCCTTTGTCTGCATAAATACTTGGATTAGTCCACTGTTTCAGTCCTTCCCAAAAAACAAAAGCTGGAATTGTTCTGATATTTGACCTACCGTTCGTTTTCTTTCGTCTTTAAAATGTATTTATTTTCCTACGAAATCCAAGGGACACTGATATACTAATTGACCTGATTTGATTCCTATACATTGTATGTATTAAAACATCACTATGTAATCCATGAGTATGTACAATTATTTTTTGTCAACTTAAAAAAATAAAATCCCTGGCCAGGCATGGTGGCTCACATCTGTAACCTCAGCATTTTAGGAGGCCAAGGCGGGTGGATCACTAGGTCAGGAGTTTGAGACCAGCCTGGCCAACATAGTGAGACCTCGTGTCTACTAAAAATACAAAAAAATTAGCCAGGCAGGGTGGTATGTGCCTGTAGTCCCAGCTACTTGGAAGGGTAAGGCAGGAGAATTGCTTGAACCCAGGAGGTGGAAGCTGTGGTGAGCCAGGATCACGCCACTGTGCTCCAGCCTGGGCAACAGAACAAGACTCCAGTCTCAAAAAATAAAAAATAAAATAAAATCCCCACTACTCAGGAGGCTGAGGTAGGAGGATTAATCATTTGAGCCTGGGCTGGGTGCGGTGGCTCAAACCTGTAATCCTAGCACTTTGGGAGGCTGAGGCAGGTGGATCACTAGATCAAGAGATCGAGACCATCCTGGTCAACATGGTGAAACCCTGTCTCTACTAAAAATACAAAAAATTAGCTGGGCATGGTGGCACATGCCTGTAATCCCAGCTACTCAGGAGGCTGAGGCAGGAGAGTTGCCTGAACCCAGGAGGTGGAGGTTGCGGTGAGCCAAGATCGCGCCATTGCACTCCAGCCTGGGTAACGAGTGAAACTCCGTCTCAAAAAAAAAAAAAAAGAAAGAAAGATTCTTCACTAACATACTAATGCCATTTTACAACAGCACTAATTTGGATTAGAAATCATAATAATAGAATAATTATAGATTTATCTCAATTATGTAAGCAAGTGAATATAAATATTCACAGTCATCTCAGTGGGATTCTGCATGTGTAGTGGTTAAGAACATGGGCTCGCCAGGCGTGGTGGCTCATGCCTGTAATCCCAGCAGTTTGGGAGTCCAAGGCGGGTGTATCACCCGAGGTCAGGAGTTCAAGACCAGCCTGGACAACATGGTGAAACCCCGTCTCTACTAAAAATACAAAATTACCCCAGCATGGTGGCGCATGCCTACAGTCCCAGCTATTTGGAAGGCTGAGGCAGGAGAATCGCTTGAACCCGGGAAGCAGAAGTTGCAGGGAGCCAAGATCACACCACTGCACTCCAGCAAGAATGAAACTTCATCTCAAGATACAAACATTTAAAAAATAAAAAAGAACATGGGCTCTTCACCTACAGTCCAGTCTCTACCAGGCAACCCAGCCCTTACCCAGGGCCTGGGTCAGTGCTGGGCACATGACTGCTGTGCACTAAATATCAATTATACCTGAATGAGTGAATGAGCTCTAGAATCAGATTGCTTGGGTTGGAACCCACCTCTAATACCCACTAATTGTTTAATTTTGGAAAATTTATTTTGCTGACTGAGATTCCGTTTCTTCACTTGTGAAGTTCAGATTACAATAGCTATTGGGAGAATTCAGCAAGGCACACACCTGGCTGGGAGTGTCTGCTCAGTATCTGTTACCAATACCTCTTTTAGTATCTTACCATTCCTCAAGACAAAGATCTGCAGTCTCTTAACCTCTCTAATTTGCTTGAAGTAAGTGTGGAGAGGGCTACCGTTTTGTTGGCTTGTTTGTTTCAGAGACTGGGTCTGGCTGTGTTGCCCAAACTGGACTTGAACCCTGGGCTCAAGCAATCCTCCTACCTCAGAAGACTACTGATTTACGTGTTTTCATTAAGTAGGAAATGGAAAGATTGGCAGGAAATTTTGTTTAACTTTTTTTTTTTTTCATCTTGCTTGTTTTTGGAGAACCAGTTTGACTAAACAGTTAGGTAGCCTAGTTCCATCTGTTCTGAGATTAATGAATTTAGGCTGCTTACTACCACCACAGGGATGATTCGCTTTAAAGAAAAGCAGTTTAATGAATTACAAATGCATCCAGCTTCTCAGATGTTTCCAGTTTCTATCCACATGAAAACAGCCTGGTCTAGAGCCCAGTTCTACTG